GCCTCGGTTTCCTGGCTCCGTTGCAGCAGGTCGCGGCTGTGCGCCCGGAGCTCGTCCCGCTGCCTGTCCGTCACTTCCTTGAGCTGCCGCAGCAGCGCGCGCTCCTCTAAGGAAGGGGCATCCTTGGCGGCGGCCCGCGGTGCGGAGGCCTTGGCCGAGCCCCCGCCCGCCACGGCCCTGGTGCCGACGGGGCCTGCACTCACCCTGCGGCCCGGCGCGCGCCTCCCTGCGGAGGTGCTCGTTCTCCTCCCGCAGCCGCCGCAGCTCCACTTCCGCCTGCTGCGCGGACACCTGCAGCTGGGAGGCCGGACGCGGGCTTAGGGTCTGCCGGCCCCGCGCGGGGCGAGCGGGGCAAGTGACTCACCGAGTCCGGGGCGGGCCCCACGGCGGCCTTTTCCAGGAGCTCCAGCGCCCGCACCACGAGCGGCACCAGCCCGGCCGCCGCCTCGGGTCCGAAGCGGCGCGCCAGCTCTTGCAGCTCCGTGCCCAGGGCCCCCGCTAGATGGTACACGAGCTCCGCGGCCGTCCCCGACCCCGCGGCCAGGCGAGGCCCCCAGCCCGGTGGCCCAGGCACCGCCCTTCTGGGCTCCATTTCCCCCAAAGACCGAAGGCACCCCCACCCTCAATTGGGGCAGGAAGATGCCAAGCAATTCCGGCCCAGGAAGTTCAGGCCTGTAAGGGGCGGGGTATTAGCGACAAGGGAGGGGCGACAACGGAGAAGGCCCTGGGAAGCGGGGACAGTGCCCTAGGCCTTCTGCGGCCTGTCCTGTTCAAACCCCAAGGTCACAGGAAACCGGGAGGCCAGTTTCCAGGCAGGCGGCCAAGAGCTGAGGCTCAGGGCTGTAAGTGGTCACTTTAGGCAAGCCCTCCCCATGGCCACAGGTCTAGGCTCCGCCCCTGCGTCTGGAGTCAGGAGGCCAACTTGGCCAACAGGCACTTTTGGCGAGAGATGAGATTCAGTATCAGTGAGTGCCTTCACCCTAGGGGCCTCTGCCCAGACGGCAGCTCACATGCTTGCTTCCCCACCAGGAGTGACACGGAAACCTCATAATGGGGCTGGGTCGGGCCCTACAGCTACAGCCCAAGTGGCAGAGTGTAGGGCCCCAGCACAGGGCTCCAAAGTGCTGTTGAAAAGAGGTGATGGTTTGCAAGTATTTTGCAGAGAAACTAGCAAATCTGCTCAAGGTGGTACAGTAGGTGGTACAGTGTGAAAGCCAACCCCCACCTCATTTCCTAAGTCGGAGATACCCAGCCCCAAAGGCCCGAGTAGAGGTGGCCTTGGTCCCTTCTCAAGGCTGTGACCTGCTGTGAACTGCTCTATCCTGGCTCCCAGGGCTGGGGATATAGCTCAGTGGCACAGCACCTGCCTGGCAAGTGCAGGGTCCTGAGTTCAAGTCCCAGTGTCAAAAAAAGTCTGAATATCCTGGCTCTCTGCCTTGCCTACATCCAGAATTTAGGCTGGGGGTGGGGGCAGGGCACAATCATCATCCCCAACTCCTATTTATACAAAATTTATTGTATTTTGTTCAGGATTACAAGCCATCAACAAGCACAAGAGGGAAAAGGGACCAAGCTGCTGAATGTCACCAACTTGTCAGTGAGGGAAATGGGCTCCAACCTTTGGGGATCTCAAGCAGGAAGGGAAACAATTAGGCATAGAGGTCCTCCCGGTCTGCAGAGTAGACCTCGCCCTCCTGCAGGAGGGCAAAGTTGAGGAAGTGGGACGGTCTGTGAACCTCATGGTAGAACTCCTTGGGGTTTGCCAGCTGCAGCTCGTACTTCATGTTGGGATCGTGCCGGACACCTTAGGGGAGAGAAGGAAACATCAAATGTTAACAAGGGTCCACCTGCCTCACCCAAGCTGAGCCCCTGGACCTTTTCCAAGGGAATCAGATCCCAATGCTAAGGGTAAGGGCTCACATCCCTACCTCATCCCCACTTCTGTACTGTGCCCCCAACAAGAACAGCCCCCTTACCCATGAAGTTGTAGTTCCACGAGGACTGAGCAGGGACCATGAAGAAGCCGAGGAAGCGGTCTGACAGCAGCATCTGGACCCTCTCGTAGTGCGAGGGGAGGTAACCCTTGGGGTTGTTGCCTTTGTCCGTGTTCTGGCGGCCCCATTCATAGCCACTGGGGGTCAGCTTGTAGGCTGTCAGTGTGCAGGAGCCTGGGGTGAAGCTAGGGGACAGAGGACAGCACGAGAGCTCAGGCCACCATTCCCACTCCTGGCCTGCGGTGCCTGCCTGACCACACTTCCAAGGGGCCCAAGCCTACCTGCAAGTGATGATAATGGTCTTCTCACCATCCCAGGATGGGTTGTCAGCCATGATCTTGGCATGGGTTGTGACATCCTGGGGTGAGAGCTGGGGGGACTCATTGGGCTGAGTGTGAATCCAACCCAAGGGCTCCATCTCCTGTAGGCCAAGAGCAGTAACAACTGTTCAGAATCCCAGCTCCTGGCAGAAAGCTCACCCATGTGAGTAACACGCCTGCCTTCCCAGCGCCTCTCTGATGGCGGGAAGCCCATTCTCAAGCTCCCACGCCCCCACGCTCTGTCACCCCACTCGCCTTGAGGTACTCATGCTGGGGCAGCTGGCCAGGCAGATGCACGGTCTGGTGAGTGCCCCACTGCGGCACCATCACAATGCAGCGGATCTCCTTCACCTGGGGGTTATCTGGTGGGCTCACCCCATACAGGTATCCTGCAATCTGGAAGGAGTGAGTTCAGGAATCAAAGCTATTATTCTTAGACCCAGGCCAGAGTCTGGGCTGTCAGCTTATGTTTTCTGCCAACCCCAAGAATTACACTCAAGTTTCTTAAAATGTGCCAGAACTTCTTGCATCAGAGTCCCCTGGAGCAGTGCTTGTTGCACATGGATCTCACTGCAGACTTCCCATATCACAACCGCCTGAGTACAGTCCTGGGGAATGCACTGCCCACAAGCTCCCCAGTTGCTAATTACTGAGTACACTGTCCATAGGCAAGCTCACAGCTCACTGAATTTTCACAAGCCCGATACACATGGTAGAAAGCCAGCACCAGGTGGTATTCTAGTTTTACACTGCTATCAACAAAGAAAAACTTTCCCATAAACTCACTTGCTTAGGATACTAGCAATCTTCACATGTGCCAAACTGACGGTTACAATAGGGTGTTTCATAAAATGTAAATATTCCTGATGACTTTTTTGTTTTGAGACAGGGTTTCACTATGTACTTAAGGATGGCCTTAAACTCACATGCAGCCCATGCTGGCCTCAAACTTACAGCAATCTTCCTGGCTTAGCCTCCCAAGTGCTGGGATTACAGGCATGTGCCACCATGCCTGGCCTTAAACTCGCCCAAGCTGGCCTGTAACTCATGGCCATGCCCCTGCCTCTGCGTACTGGGATTATAGGCATGTGCCACACACCTGGCTGAGTATCCCTGACTACTGAAGGTGAGCATCTTTGCATATAAATTTGCCATTTATAGCTCCTTTTGTGAACTGCCTTTGTGGTTTTATTTATTTATTTATTTATTTTTTGGTGCTGGGGATTCAACTCAGGTCCTCATGAATGCTAGTAAGTATGTATGTGTTCTACTGAACTACAACCTGACTCCTGAACTTTCTTTTCTTAAATCTGTCATTCTTGAAGGTTTTTTAAAAAAATTTTTCCTATTGGGGATGGAACCTAGGGACACTTTACTACTGAGGTATATTCCAGCCCTTTTTTAAAATTTTGAAACAGGGTACCACTAAATTACCCCTAGTGCTGGGATTACAGGTATGTACCACTGTCTCTGCTTCTACAGTTACCTTAAAAATCAACCTGAAACTTCCCTCTTTTTATTGATAAGATAGACAGAGAATTCCCTCTTCTGGACACTAATCCACTATTTCAGAGTAATAAAAGTAATTCTTTCTCAGTTTTAGTTTGTCTTTTGTAATACCCTTTGTCACAAATTATTACTTGATCATGGTTTTGTGGGGTTTTTTTTTGGGGGGGGGGCAGTTTACCAGGAATCAAACTCAGCATCTCACACTTGCCAGGCAGGTGCTGCACCACTGCACTAAATCCCTAGCATTTTTTTTTTTTTTTTTGAGACAGGGTCTTGCTACCATTCAGGCTGGCCTTGAACAACTCGGTATATAACCCAGGCTGGCCTTGAACAACTTGGTATATAACCCAGGCTGGCCTCAAACTTGTGGTGATCCTCCTGCTTCAGCTTCCCAAGTGCTGGAATTACAGGAATGCACCACCATGTCCAGCTCTTTATGTTTTGTTTCAGGAGGTTACCCCAACATTGAGGTCATCAATACAGTCTTCTAATACCCTGCAGCTTAGCATTTTACATTCAGATTTTCACTCAGATTTGATAAGACACAGGGTCCTAACCTTCCAACCATCTCATTGTAAGATCTATTTAATCTCACAGATTTGGTATATATGAATCTGGTTTTTTTCTGGTCTTTCTGAGACAGTCTCGCTATGCAGTTCAGGTTGGCCTTATAGCCCAGGCTGGTCTCGAACTTGCAACAATCCTCCTACCTCAGCCTCCCGAGCGCTGGGGTTACAGCGTGTGCCACCACGATGAATGTGTTTCTGACTATTCTCTCCCAATAACTTCTAAGCAAATACCACTTTATAAATCATGCTGCTGTCTCATGGGCACCAAAGCCTCTTGTTTTGGCTATCCTTTTGTCATTATATTTATTTACAAATCTTTAAACCAGCTTCAAGTTTTAGGAAACACCAGCTGAGTTTTAGGCACATAACAAACATATGGGCACATTAAGTGTGGCCCAGCTGAGCATACTCACTTGGGCACGAAGGTCAGATATGCAGATAAATTTCTTAAGCACGTTCTTGGGGAGGATGTAGGTGTAACCAGTCTCTTTAATGTCATCAGATGAAACATAAATGTGATTGGTCCTTAGGTGCAGGTTGGCAGCAGATATGGCCCTAGAAAAAGTAGGGGATATTAACATGTCCCCATTCCAAACACCTCTGGCGGCGCCAGCAGGCCATTACATTCCTACTGCAGTAGGGGATTGAACCTAGGGCCTCTGCACTGAGCTACACAGATCCACAGGCCTTTTTTTTTGGTTGGGGGGGGGGCTGGTATTGGGAATCAAACTCAGGACCTTGCACTTGCCAGGCAGGCACTGTGCCGCTAAGCTATATTCCCAGCCCATGGCCTTATTATTTTTGAGACAGGCTCTTGCTAACTTGCCCAGGCTGGGCTCAAACCTGAGATACTCCTGCCTCAGCTTCCCACAGTGCTGCAATTACCATGTCTAGGCTTGTGCCACCATGTCCAGCTCATCCCCGCATTCTTGCTCTTCACATTACCTGACCCTCCATTCAGTCTTTGATGAGAAAGTCTGGGTCTCATAGTTACTGGTGGTGGAGGTAATGATCTCATCACCATGTTTGTTGACAGTGCGAGTCTGTGTTGCAGTCAGCTGTGACTGTTCCTTGGTTTGCTTCTCAATCTCTGCTATTTGCTGCCGCTGCTGTGACGGTGCTGATATCTCCATTCCCAGGATGATGTCTCTAATTTCTGATTGTGTCAGTGATGCCACATTCACACTGTGGGGACAGGGAGTTAAGTTACTCAGGGGTCCCATCCCCTTAGTCACTTTTGCTTGCATAGCTAGAGGCTATGACTTGGTACAAGGGCAGTTCATACTCTTGCCCAGATAATCCTCAAGGGACACTTTCATACAAAGTGTGGGGTGGGGACACACTAATACGTCTAGGACTCAGCACATGTGAACAGGATGACACTGAGCATCTACTGGCTATTCAGCATCCATACTTCTACTTTCCCTTCACAAAAAAATACCCTGGCACAGGTGGTATTATTAGTGACCCTAGCAGGTATTTAGAAATCTCTGGGTGTTTAGGGTTGCTGTGAGGGTGGAAGAGAATGGAAGGGGCATTCATGGGCTAACAGCAGAGGTACTTAAAGCCTGGGACATTTAAACTTCCTGTAATGT